AGCGATGCCCTTTGCCCTAGTAGCGATGCCCTTTGCTCCTAGTAGCGTCCTTGTTCCTAGTAGCGATGCCAGGAGCCCCTAGGCCCTAGTAGCGTCCTTGCTCCTAGTGTCGGTAATGCACTGAGGAATCATTGAGACTGTGGCGTCGGTCTCGGCCTTGAACTTCGTTGATCAGGACTTGGATCCAGCTGAACTTGGAGGTGGTGCCGTAGAGCTGAACGTAGAGCTTTGCTTCTTAAAAAGGGGGATGTAGTAGCTAGAGGGTAGGTAGCTAGTAGAAGAGGTAGCTACTACCTACAAGTCAGCTACTAGTACGGACGCAGGATAGCGCTCGCACTAATGATTGAGTTTACGGAAACTTAACATTAGAACTTGTAACTTAACATGTAGATTTTGGGCACAAAGCCTGAAGACTCTGTTCGATGTTGCATTGGTGGCAACCAATTCGATCCTCAGCGTTGTTTTGGCGCAGCGGTACAATTCTTTGCATTTTAGAAGCGCAAGCTAAGTGTCAGCACATCTGATCGAGACCTGATATGCCAGGCTTTTTGTCGTGGCGAGCAGCAAGCTCACCTTTGGTACAGCGGCTTGCCAAAAAAGACAATCTTTTAGGTGAACTTGAACTATTGAAAAACACAGTGATGTTCGAGTATATTTAGTATATACATATAATTGAACTCTTGAGATTGGATTAATATGGGTTCAGCATTGTTTACCAGTCCCCCAGGTTGCCCAAGAATTCTGTCATCAAGCTGGGGTGATTTCCAGGTCGTACAATGTCTATTTGGCCAGTGATGCTGTTGGCACGGGGCGATTGCCTGCAGCTGGTGCCATGGCACACCTCATCGAAAGGGGCACTTGAGTGAAAGTCGCACTTAAAATGAGCTACAGTGTTTGATACCAATGACCAAGCTTGATGTGAACTTGTCACAGATACCAAGCTTCCTAAGGTGGAATCATCTCTGTCACTCAGACTCATGCTATTCTACCTGCGGACTCTCAGCTTGAGCGGCAGCCCTCCTCTGCTTCATTGTGCTTTATAAGCTTGTCTTCGGTTTTGTACAAGAAATAAGATTATTTTAGCTGCAATGTAATAGTCTGCATTGCAGCCCAAGATGGGCCAAATTACACTCAGCTGCAACTCTACTTCGAAAAGCTATTTATATATGCCTTCAACTTGAACTTAGCCATGAGGGGTCTCAGCTTGTCCCACACGTAGAGGACTCAATGATGACCCAAAAGAACTCCATCTCTATATTTTCTGACAAGTGGAGGCGTCAAAGAGGTATAGAATCAATGCAAGTCCATCCAATTTCAAAACTTCAGGATACTGCCATCAACAACTTCACACACTTCCTGGCGACTTGGAATTGCAAGAGGTCAGATTGTGCTGCTTCATCACTCCGCAACAAGGCCAACACCCTTAGCCTTGTAAAGATGCCGAAGATTCATGAACAATTCTGCCTGTGTTTTTTTGTTGGAAGCTTTGGAAGCTTGTGGAACAACATGGAACAACCCCACAAAACTGGACATTTTCACAGATTCACGGAGGAATAACTAGGAGCAAGGACGCTACTAGGGGCTCCTGGCATCGCTACTAGGAACAAGAACTCTGCTACCATTTCACCAATCTGCAGATTCTCCTAGGTCTTCACGGAGTCGGTCCTTGCGGAGCAAAGCACCCCGGTGGCAACCCCCCTCAGCGATTCCTTCGGCCTGGCGAGGAACATCGATTTCTACGACCTGGACCGCGGTTCGAAGCCGTTACCATCGAAGCGCGGTTCGGGTCTTTGGAATTTGGGGTCAATTGAGTGGTCTGGCTTGTCTGTGATGTCGGTGCTGTGATCTCGCAAGTAGAACGATACAGAGACTGGATCAATTCGATCCAGGTCCTGGTATGATCACCACAGGTTTGATTGTAATTGACATTGAACTTTACAACTGTGTCTCATCCTTATACCCTCATAGTCACCCATCGTCCTCGTTTAGCTGCCTTCTGCAGGACCTTGACGATGGTGACCTGGGTGGAAACCTTTCATGGCAGCCGCCGGTGGATGACAGCCTAGTGAACCCAGCCAAGATAAATGACAAACAATTGCCGGTAGGAATAGGTCCTGGCATGTCCTGGCTGCATGATGAATCACACGCACAGGACTTTTCAGAGAGTGATACTGGTACGTTGCAATGACCCAGCTGGTACTAGACTTCTTCTGCTTGTCAAGACTTTGTGTGCATGATCAAAGATGTTTCAATTGTATTTCTAAGTACCATATTAGCAGGGCCTCAGAAATGAGCACAACACTCCAAGGATTGGATACAATGTCTTCCTGGCAGATGCAGCGCCATGTCAGGCCAGATCGTGCATTGCCTCCTGATATGAATCTGATGGTAGCATAAGTTTGGCGGACTGCCTGCTTGCTCGGAAGAAGCAACTTCCAATTCCAGTATTTCCAGGGATTGCTCGAACAGCGTAGAAGATGGACAAGAATGTCGGTCAAGACCTTGGGTATGACTAGTGACTAGTTCTGTTCGCAGATAGAGGATAGCTTGCCTGGAAGGACTGTGGGAGAAGCGCAGTTGCGAACCTCTCCGAGACCCTTGTGCAGATTCCTGCAGACACGCCAGTGCTCAATTGGACAGATTTTCTCATTTATGTCACTTGACATCAAAGGGAAGACCAGGCAGTGTAAGAAAGACATGTGACATGTACATTGCTAGATAGGAGTCGTCAACTTGCCTTGGTGGCGTCAGCAGTCGACTTGCAATGTTCAAAAGGTATGGGAAAGGCAAGAAGTTCTTTTTTTGTGATGCCCTAGAGTTGGTTGCATTGGCCCAATGGCCTCGTAGAATTTTTTTCTAACCCCCTGAATGATCTGGATGGCTCCACAACAGAAGGGATTTACGCATTGAACATTCAATGGGGTGAACAAAGGTACAATTTATATATGCAGAGACAAATGGACCAAATCCATGCATACATTAACTACTTTTTATGGGGGGGACATGAACACCTCTGGAAGATTGCCCAGGAGTCAGGTAATCTTCAAAGGTGTTTGCTGTAGTATTGCAAGACAAAGTGACCAAATAAAACTGGGGGATACTTAAATACGGTAATACTATGTGGACATTGTGGGGGTCTTTGATGAGAAGGGCATTGCCCTTTGAGGCAAAGATTTGGTTACGACTTTTTGTGTAGGCCTTGAAGCAGATGTTGCATTGCACGGGCTAGGAGACTGCCCGGTCTCAAATTGTTGAGGCTCGGTCAAGCTTTGCAGAGCAGAGCACACCTGCGACCTATGCTGTCGTGGATGCGAACGCTAGTGTCTCGGGGATCAACTTCGTGGACAAAGACCTCGAGTATAAGGAGACCATTGACAACACTTTACACATTTCGAGCCAGACCACCAAGACAATTCAATCAATTGATCCAATTCCCATTTAAAGGGCATTGCACGTGCTGCCTTGCACAGGAGATTGGGGGCACCTTGCTTTGGACGGCTCCGGATTCAGAGCGAGTTGAGAGTTATGGAATTTACTTGAGCTGCTTGGTGAAGCAGGAGCAGTTTTCGTCAGATCGTTTGCTTCGTTTTTCACTCTTCTTTGCCTTTTCAACAGCTTTTTGCATTGGTGCTGTGTTTGCTAAGGCGACGCTTCCCAGAATTCAAGAATCACTTTGGGCTATGTTGGCCAAGCCAGCACCACGAGGCCATTGTCTACTAAGTTCACAGGGTGTCTTCAACACGAGGTCAATTCAAAACCTCCAAGACAGAGAGAGAGAGAGAGACGAAAGACAGACGATCCACAACATCTACTAGTTGCTATTGCAGTAATGAACTGTCATTACTTTCAGATAAAGACGATACCTATTTCAATCTGACGATGTGTGGCAGAGCTCCAAGCTGCTTGGGAGGTTGATCCCTGCAGAGACCGAAACCTATGGGCTGGAATTCCTGAGCATCTACACGCGCTCTATCCTAGTCGTCAGGTCGCAAGTGAGAATCTTCATCCCATTAACTGGCTGAGAGTGGCTGAGATGGAACACCAGACAGAGTGTGTGAGGTGTTATGTTTAATGGACATGGTCGCTATTCTTTACTTGTTCGCTGTCGGTCATGGCCTGTCCTAAGTGCCACTAAGCTGAAACCCTTAGGCAGAGCAAAGCACGCCTGTGGCATTGGAGATCTCTGACACTGGGGCCGTGGGGAAGCCCAGAATGTGATGGCTCCCGGCCGAATGCATTCAGGCAATGACCAAATGCCTTTGATTCTTATTGACTTCACAACATGTATATAGTTAAATGACATCAAACTATACAATCCTTTGTCAAGAACATTGAAACATGTACTTGATTCGTGTTGATTCATGTTGATTCCAGGTGATCACGAATGTGAGCTTTGTGGACTATGATTTGGATGAAAGTGATTTGGGTGGAAACCTGTCTTGGACAGAGCCGGATGATTTGAGTCAGGTGGGCTTGACTATGTAGACTGGCTGAGAATCATTCGCGACACAGCTTTCTTGTCCAAATCTACGATCTGTCATAGCTTCAAGTTGAAACCCTGCAGGTAGAACAATACAACATTTACTTCGCCACCACCAGGCTGGTTATTGTCACCAAGCAACTGGGGCTTGCTTCGAAGCAATTGGAGGAGTTTTGGATTCCATGGGTGTGTATTGGCATGGAGAACCCTGTTGTAGGCTAGTCTCCACCCCACCACGGGGATCCCCTTTTTCACTCAAGTCGACCTTTCCGCCTTCCAATTCAAGTGCGACCTTTTGATCAGAGATGCGATTAACTATTCGTCGCTTTTGGAGGGCTAATCGCGATTTCTCCGGGGTGCCAATCCCCATAGGACCTCTTTAGGTGGGCCGTTTGTGTAAATTAGCTGTTGCAGAGTCTGTAGCAGTTACTTCTGGAGATACCACATATTTGACATATTTAATTCATGTTAATTCATTGTTAGCGATTTGCGTTTTGTCAGTCAACAGTAACAATACGACTACCTCACTCTTACCGTACCCGCGCAGAGGGCAAAGGACGCGTAAGAAAGCGCCGGACTCGCTGCGCAAGATCGATAGCCCACCACGGGATCGATTTGGGGGTCTCCCTGTTTGGCGTCTTGACAAAGCTAGTAGCGTCCTTGCTCCTAGTAGTAAGGCCAGGAGCCCCTAATAGATTTATTGTTACTAGTAGCGATGCCCTTGCTCCTAGTAGCGTCCTTGCCCAGATCGTTAAGGGACAGGGATCGCATCCGAAGAGCCAGTGCAGGTGTGACTCCTCCGATGGATTTGCGAACTCTTCGGAGGAGTGGCTCAGTTGCACTAGTCAAAGGACGGATCAAAGAACGGGATTCGCCAAAAAGCTATGGAAAAGGTTCTTTCTTGGGATGTTTGCCGATTTGTGAATGATCCTGTATGGCTTAAGGATGCTTAATGGGTTTCGGGTTCCGATGTTTCATGTTGGAAAGTGAAGAAAGGAAGGTCTGGCCGATGCCTCCAGCATCCTCCAGCCTAGGAGTGACTCGAGGCTCGAAGTGCCTCAGCTTCATGGGTCGGTCGGTGTCGAAGCGGTGACTTGTCGGTCCAGAAGATGAGCCTAGGAGTCCAGAGGAGTCCAGAGGAGTCCGGAGTCTCCTTTGTTGGCAGGGCATGTATTTTTCTCGCAGGAGCAGTAACATTTTAGAATTCTTGAAAACTGGTGAACATTGGGTTCCACCCAGTTTCGGATGCACCTGCTCACGATACCAAGGTGTCCTTCTGCGACCGCACATTCTTCGGAACAACTCCTTTAGGCAGACGTGCAAGATGGGCAACACTTGGTTCTGAGGAGCATTTGTGTTATCCAAAATGGTTAAAGAATGTTAACGAGTTAATGTGTAGTTTGGACCTAAAGGATGTGTGAAATCCAACCAACATGGCCATCCTTGTCGGATTCCAATGTGGACACTTCCATGCAGGTGATAGCGACATCGCTGTGCTGCCAGAGACCTCCCTTGGTACTTTGGTGTAAACAACCACGTTGAAGGACACCAGTTTGTTCCTAATGATGAACAGTTACACATGTTACACGCTAATTCCGCGTGCTTGGCTTGCTTGGTTGCTTCTCTTGGTGGTCAAAGAATGTCGGACAAAGTCATTCTGTGAGAGCAGTGCTTTTGCTTGGCAAAATTTGGCAAGGTAACTTTACACACTTCTTGGTGTATGCCAACTCCTCCTTGGCCGAGCAGAGCATCCCAGCCTGGCATGAGATCTTTGCAACTCTGCAGCCAAACGCTGGCGAATCGAGGTTGTTGTTTGGTGGAGCACTCGTTCAGTGGCTTTTTCATACTGTGGGGGTTGTGGAATATGTAACAATGTAGACATTGGTGGATTGCAGTTCAATTGCTTCCCGGCACGAGGACATGAATGCTAGTGTCTCGGGCATCCATTTCGTGGATCTTGACCTGGATGAGACTCAGCTAGGCGGAAACATCTCATGGACAGCTCCAGCAGATCCCAGTCGTGTGCAGGAGACCGCACGTCACGTGTTCAATGGAGACCTTACATGCGCATGCTATGAAAGGTGTCCAGCATTGCTGGGAAGTGGCACGACACTGCACGAAGAGCTTTGTATTGAGCATCGTAGCCCTACCGTTACCATGCTGTAACTGTAGCAGTGTTTGTACTGTACTCTTTGTCTCTCGGAGGACTACGTGGTGAGCCTCTCAAACGACGCCCTTC